GCACATTATTTTTTTTTAATGTAGTTTCTTAAACACACACAAAAAACTAATTTTTTGAGCAACTACTAGGTTCAGAAATCTTAATATATGTTATCTGCTTTAATCTCACCTCACCCCTTTCATTGCCACAGCTCTGCCCTTTGTACATTCCACTATGTCACACTGGCTTCCTCACTGCCTTCTTTAGAGCTGGACACAGTTCTGCCACAAGACCTTTGCACTTGCTGTTTCCTCCATCTGGAATATTCTTCCCCATGAAGAGCGTGATTTCCTCCCTCACCTCCTTCGGGTCTTTGCCCAAAGAGCACTTTGCAGCAAAGCCTTGACCAGCCTATTTCCCTTAGCCTGCTCTACTTTTCCCCACAGCAATTCTCACCTTCTGACATAATTTACTGACTGTGTTTGCTGTCAGTCTTCCCCTGGTTGTATATAAACTCCATAAAATCAGGAATTTTTCTGTTTTGTTCACAATTGTATTCCCAACACCTCAAACAACTCAATAATATAGCACTTAATACATATTTGCTGAATGCATGTATTTGTTATCTATTATTGCATTACAAATTACCCCCAAATTTAGCAACTTAAGACACAACATTTACTCTCTCATATGGTTTCTGAGGGTCATGAATCTAGTTGCTGCTTATCTGGGTGGTTCAAACTCAGGTTCCCCGTGAGGCTGCAGTCACACTGTTGGCCAGAACTACAGCCTTCTCAAGGCCTGGCTGGGGCTGAAGAACGCACTTCCAAGCTCATGAACCTGGTTGTTGGCAGACCCTGTTCCCTTACTGGCTGTTGGCTGTGAGCTTCAGTTCCTAGTCACATGGGCCTCTCCACAGGGTGGCCTCATGTCATGGCAGCCAGCTTCCTCCAGAGTGATGAGAGAGCGAAAAAGAGAGGGAGGGAGGAGGGAAGGAGTGAGAAGAGAAAGGAGGGAGGGAGGGAACAAAGCACATAAGACAAGAGCCACAGTCTTTTATTACCCAGACACAAAAGTGACAATACCATCTGTGGCAAACAAAATAGTGGCCTCAAAAGATGTCCATGCCCTAATCCTTAGAACCTGTGAATATGCTATCTCAATGGCAAAGGAACTTTGCACATGGGAGTAAATTTAGGATTTTGAGATGGGGGAGATTATTCCACATTGTCCACATGGGCCTGATGTAATCACAGGGTCTTTATAAGGGAAAGAGGGAGGCAGGGTAATCAGTGATAAGAATGGTAAGATGACTGTGAAAACAGGTTGTAGTGATGCACTTTGAAAACAGGAAGGTATGGTGAGCTGAGGAACACAGGTGGCCTCTAGAAGCTGGAAAAGACAAGGAGCAGGTTCTCCCCTGGAGCCTCCAGAAGGAGCCAGCCCTGACAACACCCATGAGACCTCCAGAATGGCAAGGTAATAAGCCTGTGCTGCTTTAAGCCACTAGATCACAGTGATTTGTTACTGTAGTAGGAGGAAATGACAACACCATCACTTCTGCCAAATTGTATCGGTTAGAAGTAAGCTGCATTCAGTGTGTGAAAACCAGGACACACAATTGCTTGGGGGCACTTTAGAGATTGCCTACCACAAGAATGAATTACTATCAACCCAACTTTATAGGTAAGATGAGGTTCAGAGGAGAGAAGCAATTTGCCTGAGGTCATATAGCTAACAATGTGGAAGTCACTTCCCTCTAAATAAATTCTGAATTCTTTGGACAAACAGCTACAAGGACCTATCTGATCTGGGCCCTGCTTCCCTCATCTCACACAAATTTTTTTTTACCTTAGGCCCTTTCCACCTGCTGTTTCTTTTCCAAAACTGCTCTTCTTGGGGCTGGTTCCTTCTCAGTCTTCAGGTCTCAGTTCAAATACTAGTCTTTCCTGATAATATAATGACTTTTTTCCTCTTCATCCCAGTTTAGTTTTTCTATCTTATATTTTGTATGGTTACTGTCTAATGTCTATTCCCACTACTCCCACCCCTCATGAGGATAGGGGCTTTTGTGTTTGTTAATTGCTGAATTCCCAGTACTGACACATAGTAGGTGCTAAATAAGTATTTGCTGAATGAATGAATGACTTCACAGGGTGATAAAACAGTTAAAATCAATCTATTCAGCTCACTTCTCTAGGCATCTTGAAATGACAGTTCTTACCTGGCGAGCTTATGAATAAGCAGAAAATAAATGAAAGAAGTCACAAGGCACAGAGCCACAGGATTTATTTTTAAAGAAGTGAGAGCTTTGATTCTCCCAGCACCAACAGACTAGACTTGGGGGAGCTCACGGAACTCTGCACTCTGAGAGCCTTTTGTCTCCAGAGAAGGAAGAAGGGGTAAGCAATCAGGATTTCAGTAATAACGAAGCCTTTCTTCCCAGGCTGGTTCTGCTGGTCCCCACGCCCCTTCCTGCAGGCAAAAATCTTCTCTACTTAGCCAGGAACCGGAACCCTCTGAAGACTGCAGGGCAACTGTGAATTGAATAAGGGTGTGTCAGGCAGAGAGAGCCAGACTTTATTTGAGAGGTCAGGTTCTTGTGATCTTGGACAAGGAATCTGTTTTCTCAATCTCCCCCTTTTTTTTTTTTTGAAGGGTGCAGGAGGACTTAAGTAAAGACAGTTAAATTAATCGTCTCAGTTCACAACCCACTCTCATAGCTGGTTTGTGCAAAGCTCCCTGGCTTATTAATTCACTCATTCATTCATTTCTTTTTATCCCTGTCCTCTACCCACCCCCATTACCCTCCTCTCCAGCTCTATTTAATAAATGTCTTTGAATTTGTATGTAGCTTTGTCAATTGTGTAGTGCTATTTCATGTGAACGTGAATTCAATTTTTTAATTGAAAGGTATCCTGCTATAGATCATACTCGGTTTCTTACTGAGGTAACCAGCCTCCAGGATGGCCCCCAGTGGATCTTCTGGTATTCACATCTTTGACACCTCTCTCACTGAATAGACCTGACCCTACTCAACAAATAGGAAACTGCCAGGGTAACAGCATGTGGTTTCCTAGGTGACAGAAGACATTGCAACATCCTCCTTGCTGTTTCTTGGTTCACCCACTCTGGGGGAAGCCAGCTGCTACTCTGAGGACACTCAAGTTGACCTCTGGAGAGGTCCAAGAGGAACTGAGACCTGTCAACAGTGAACACCAACTTGACAGCCATTAAGTGAACCATCGTAAATGATTCTCTTGCCCAGCCAACCCTTCAGATGACTGTAATCCAGCAACATGTTCACTGAAATCTCATGACAGATCTCAAGCTGGAACCACTCAGTTAAACCGTTCCCAAATTCCTGAGCCCCAGTCAGGAACTATGTGAGATAACAAATGTTAATCTTTGTTTTAAGTCAGTAAGTCTTGGCAACACATAACGGATACTTTTTAAATTTAGCTGTATAGTTTGTAGCTCTATCCAAGTTTTGTTGCATTTGTCTAATTTAGGAGTTAGCAGTGTTTTACTATAAAGAGCTAGATGTAGATCCTCTAAGCTCTGCAGGCCATATGGTCTCTGTTGCAACTCTCCTGTTGTAGAGCAAAAAGCAGCCATCGGCAGTATATAAACGAATGAGTGCGGCTATGTTCTAATAAAACTCGGCACACACTAGGATTTGCATTTCGTATCATTTTCACGTCACAAAATATTCTTTCAATTTTTTCCCCACCATTTAAAATGTAAAAATCATTCTCAGCTTATGAGCCAAGCTGTACGAAACAAGTAACAAGTCAAATTTGGCCCATAGGCATTCGTTTGTGGCCCCTGGTCTGTTCATGGTTTTGAACTGCATAGTTCTTCCATAATGTGCCTTCACCATAGCTTACATATCTATTCCCAGTGAGGGGCGTTCAGTTTATCTCCTACTCCCAGCTGCCAGAAACAGCACCTTCAGTGAACACCCTTGGCTGTGTGGGAGGATCCCCAGTGTGCCCAGGAGTGAAATTGCTGGGCTCCAGGGCAGTAGTCTACACTCAGTAGGGGTGCAGGACAGCTGCCTTTAGTTACCCAACTTTATGACGTTTGCCCATCTGTGAATCTGCTATCTCCTCTTTGTTTTGGCTTGCATTTCCCTGATAACCAGTAAGTTTGGATATCTCTTTGCATACGAGCCTACATTTGGGTTTCCTCTCTAAATTGCTCCCATGTGCACCAGTTTCCCACAGGGCTCTTCTGAAACGCCATCCTTGTTTCTGAATTCTCAACATCCTTGTTTCAGATGAAAGTTTGGCCTGGGGTTGTATTTTTACATAGATTGTCTCGTTTTGGAAATCCTGGGTTTATTTGGGGATTATCCTTGAGACCTCTGGGCTCAGGGAGGTTGATTACTATAACCCAAGGCCACCAGGGGGTCATGGGCTTGAGGAGGTGCTGAAGCTGAGTTCCAGTAATTCAGTTTGGACTGCTGATCAGAATAAGACAGTAAACAGTACTTTTCCTGGACCAAATTGGAAATGATGTTTCTAAGTGTTAAAAGGAGGCAAAGCATTAGAAAGAATGAGGCTTACTTTTTCCTAACTGGTGGAAGTGAAATCAGTTCTAAACTTTTCTGGAAGGCAGTTCCACAATTATGCGCCAAAAGTCCTAAACCCGTAAACACCTGCATACCCTTTGACTCAGCAATTCCCTAGGAATTTGTCCTGAAGCAGTAATTAGTCAAAGACAAGGAGAAAAGTGGCGGGGTGGGGGTGGGGGTGGGGTGGGATCACATCTAAATAACCCATCTCAGGGGATGCAATACTACTTTTACTATCTTAAGGTGTTCTATAGGATTTCTAATGCTTTGCAAATATCTCGATAGATAATTCACTCAAGATGTGGGGGGGGGGGTCCATGTCACAAAATAGTGGATACAGCATTATCTCATTTTTGTGAGGAAAAAATACATGTGTATAGAAAACACTGTGAAAATTCAATAGTATATTGAGCTGTAACTATGGGCCATGCACTGTTTCATTTAATTCTCACAGAACTCTTTGAGTAGGTGCTGTTATAATTTCCGTATTTTTTTTTACAGGTGAAGACACTGAGGTCAGAGAGGTGGAAGGAGCTGCCCATGGTCAGTCACACAGAAGGTAAGTGATAAAGCCAGGGTTTGAACCCAGGTGGCTGGCCAGAGCCACCCCCAGATATTCCCCATGGTCACATGTTTACACCTGAGGAGTAGACTGAGGTGATCCTTATTTCCTTTGTCTGTATTTTCTGATTTCTACAGTTAATTTTAAAAAAGAAGATCCTCCATTCCAGCCCCTTGTGGTGGTTAGTGCCTTTGGAAATAGAAATGCTGGGAGGAGTTGAAGGGGATGTTGCAGGAAGAAGAGTCAGGAACGGGATGGAGCATTGCTCACCTCAAACCCTACTCCCAAACCTTCCCTCTTTTCATACTAAAAAATATCAAGGAAATCAAAGTCAGATATATATCAGCTGTATGACCTTGAACTGGTTCCTCACCCTTCCTGAGATGTTCTCCAGATATGAACAGACTGAATTTCTGGAGAAGCCTCCCTGTCCTTGCTCCCCACCTTCCCAGCACCTGAGTGAGGCATAGGGAGGGACGGCCTTGCTCAGGGGTGCTGGGAAGGAAGGGAGGGCGGAGGACAGGGAGGAGCACTGGGCTGAGAGGAGGAAGCTGGCACTGGGAATGGCTGGGGGCAGTGGCGTGGTGCAGCGGGGAGGGACGGGGCTAGGGAAGGGACCCTACCTGTCATCTCCTCCTGGGGCTTTGAGGAGTAACTACCCAGTCTCTGAATATAACTCTGGGAAGGTCTGGGCTGCAGTGAGCACTGGACAGGCAGTCCAGAGACCTGGGTCCTGCTCACACCTGTCAGCTGTGTCCTAAGCAAGCCAGTCTCTTCCCGAGCCTTGGCTTTCTCAGCTGCTGAAGGGGTTAGTGCCTGGCTGGTTGTGACAGCAAGACGAAAGGTGCTTTGTGAAAGGCTGAACAGCTATATACTACATCAGGGGTCAGCAAGCTACAGCACACCTCCTAGTGTGCCTTTCTCATAGCTTTACTGAGATATAATTCATATACCACATTACCAAAGGGAAGGGTGGGTGGGGAGGGAGGGAGAAGGAGATTAAGGGGCATTATGATAAGCACACGTAATGTAGGGGAGGTCACAGGGAAGGCAGCATAGCACAGAGAAGACAAGTAAAGACTCTTTAACATCTTACTGTGCTGATGGACAATGACTGTAATGGGGTATGTGTGGGGGGACTTGATAATATGGGTGAGTGTTGTAACCACAATGTTGCTCATGTGAAACCTTCAAAAGATTGTATATCAGTAATAGCTTAAAAAATAAACCATATACTACACACACTTCACCCACTGAAAATGTACAGTTCTGTGGATTTTAGTATAGAGTTATGCATCATCACCACAATCAACTTTAGGATATTTCATCACCCTAAAAAAAAATCCGTTTCTTCTAGCAGTCACCCCCAGGTCCCTGAGCCTCAGGCAACGACTCCTAGGCCTCTGTCTACAGACATTTCATATCCATGGAATCATACACTGTACCATCTTTGCCTGACTTCTTTCCCTTAGCATAATGTTTTCACAGCCCACTGATGTTGTAGTATGTATAAAACTTTCATTCCTTGACTTTTGTTTTTAAGCATTATGCTTGTTGACACATCTTTTAGAATTTTCAATGACCTGGCTTGGTGAGGGGATCAAGAAACAGAGACCCTACTAATGTGTGTGATTATAAATCAGTATAATATCTTTGCAGGTCAATTTTTCATATCTACCCAAACTGAAAATGCACATACTGCTTGACTCAGCTGTTACAATATCAGGATGTATGTTATAAATAAACCTGAACTTGAGCATAAAGATGCATAAAAAGGTAAAAACAACAACAAAAAAACTTTCATTCTGTTTTATAGCTGAACTCTATTCCATTGTATTGATATACCACATTTGTTTATCTGTTCATCAGTTGAAGGACATTTGTGTTTTTCTTCTACTTTTTAGCTATTATGGATAGTGCAGCTATAAACTTTGATGTACACATTTTTCATGGATATAAGTGGACATAAGTTTTCATTTTTGGGGGGTATATACTTAGGAGTGGAATTGCTGGGTCAAACAGTAATTTTGTTCAACATTTTGAGGTAATACCTGTTTCTGTACAGTCCAGGAACTAAGAATGGTCTTTATGTTTTTCAGTGGTTGGGGAAAAAAATCAAAAGAAGAGTAATATTTGTAATACATGAAAATTACATAGAAGTCAAATTGCAGTGTCCACAGTAAAGTTTCACTGGACAGCTCATTCATTAAGTATTTTGCACTACAGTAGCAGAGTAGAGTGTTGTGTCAGAGGCCATATGGCCTGCAAAGCCTAAGGTATTTACCATCTGGTCCTTTATAGAAAATGTTTGCCAATCTCTGAACTACTTGTTGGTATTATGATTATCAGGTATTGTTTGGTGGCGGCAGCTTGGATATGTACTGCCTTGATGAGAACAGGACTCAGTTTGCCAGCCCCCCTCTGCCAGTTCCTAGCCTAGCACCATAAAGAAATGAGCTTACATCTGCCCCCATTTTCTGGATTGAGAAACTGAGTCCTACAGGAGGGCTTAGGCTGATGCAAGCTGAGGCAGAAGTGGGGGCCTAGCTTTCTCCTACTGCTGGGCAGCCGCCTACCCTTCAACTAAGAAGACCTGCCATAAATAATTCATGGCTAATGTTTGCAGAGCTCTCCATCTTGTCAGAGCACTTTGATCATCATTAATTAGTCAGAACCTGGCTCCTGCTGTCGCCTAATAAAACAAAAATAGAAGTGGCTTTGATGTCTGCATCCCTAAAACTGGAAGCTTCTATCTCCATTCCAAGCCTTAGCTCCCGCAGATTGCACCTCTCTGCCCATTTCTGCATCACCTCTCAACTTAAGACCTACTGTTTGGCCTCAAAAGTCAGGTTTCCTGAAAGAAGAACAGCAGTCCAGAGGTTGGAGCCCAGCTCTCATAGCTAGTGTCTCCTGAAAAGTCACATCACCTGTCTGCCCCTCACTGTCTTCATCAGGAAAGTACAAGTAATGCTGCCTGTTTCTGGGGTTGTAGGCATCATCCTAGCTTGTATTTGTGTTGTTCTGGAAGGAACGCTCATATACTACTGGTGGGAAGGCAAGATGGCACAGCCGCTGTGGAAAACACTGGCGGTTCCTCAAATGATTCAACAGTGTTACTGCCTTACCCAGCAATTCTGCTCCTCGGTATATACTCAAGAGAAATGAAAATACGTGTCCTCGCAAAAACTTGTGCACAAATGTTCATAACAGCATTATTCAAAAATAGCCAAAGATGGGATCTAAAAACAAAACAAAGCAAAATGAACAAAACAGCAGTAGCCTCATAGACACTGAGAAGTGACCGGTGGTTACCATGGGGGAGGAGTTGGGGTAGACAGGTGAGGGGAATAAAGGGGCACAAAAATTCTCAATTATAAGTTGGTCATGGGGATAGTAGTACAACATGGAGAATATAGTCAGTGATTCTCTAACATCTTCCTATTTTGACAGATAGTAACTGTAATAGTTGGGGTGAGGATTTTGTTGGGTAAGTGTTGAAACACTGTTGTATACTTGAAATGAATATAAGAGTGTATATCAACTATACTTCAATAGAAAAAACACAGAAAACCCCAAATAGCCAAAGAGTATTGAGAGACAACCTAAATGTACCTCAACTGGATAAAAGGACAAATAAAATTGGCTTATCTATAAATGGAATATTATTTGGCCATAAAAAGTAATGAAGTACTGATACACATGCTACAATAGGAATGAACCTGAAAACATGTTCTGTGGATTTGAATCCAGACTCTGCTATTTACTAAGTGTGACAACCTGGGTAAGTTACTTACGTTCTCTGTACCCGATTCTGCCCCTTCCCTATGCAGTGCGGATAGCAGTGCCTACTCATGGGGTCGTCGCATGAGTCACTGGAGTGTAAAGCATTTGTGACAGTGTGGGCAAACATTGAGGCTCATGTATTTATCAGCCATTGTATCTGCTTGGTGGGATTATGGTTGAAGTAGTCTAAATATTTTTGTTTGTTTTTATTTTTTAATTGAAATATAATTGACATATAGCATATTAGACTAAGGTATACAACATAATGATTTCATATTTGTATATATTGTGAAATGGTCACCAAATAAATCTAGCTGACATCCCTCACCACACAGTTACAGATTTTTTTCTTATGATAAGAACTTTTAAGATCTACTCTCTTAGCAACTTTCATACAATACACTATTATTAACTATAATCACCATGCTGTGCATTATATCCCATGACTATTTATTTTATAACTGGAAGTTTATACCTTTTGACCCCCTTCACCCATTTTACCCAGCCCCCAACCCCTGCCTCTGGCAACCACCTATCTGTTTTCTGTGTTTATGAATTTGTTTTTTTTGGTTCCATATACAGGTGAGCTCATACAGTATTTATCTTACTCTGACTTATTTCACATAGCAATGTCCTCAGTCTATTTTTCAAACTCTGTAAAATGAGCCTACAGTAATTTTGTAATCAGAGCTACAAAACACATGAAATAAAAATGTTGTAAACATCTCTTGTTAGGGAGCAGGGGAGACTCCTTTGCAGCTGCTTAGCTTTTTCCTCTTGGGCCTCCGCCTTCGCCCCTCCCCTTCTCCCTCTGCCTGCCCACCAGATCGCATTCCTCACTTCTTTTCCCAAAGAACTGTAATTAAGCTCTTACTCTGTAATTGCCAGTTCATGGTCCCCCGTCTAAAATCATACTCCCACTTGGCCTGGTTTCCCTCTCCTTCTCAGCCTTGGGAAGCACAGGCAAGATTCCGCAGATCCCAGGCTGGGCTTTGTGCTCTGAGAACAGGACACCTCTGTTACATATTAACTCTGTGTGCCAGGTGCACTGCGTGTGCTCAGCCTCCTCTCTCCGCATCACCTCCTTTGATCCTCACAACCCTGTGAGGGAACTGAATCTAGGGGAGGTAGGGTAAGTCCCCCAAAGACCTCCCAGGTAGCTGATGGTGCTGGCATTGGAATCCAGTTGGATCCGGCCTCATAACTGGAAGGGG